CCCATCATAACAGCATAACATCAACCCTAACATAACCATAACATCAGCTCTATTAACACTACCCCTTCCAACCAGCATGACATCAGCACTAGCATAATCATAACATCATAACACCAGCACTATTAAAGTAACCTATCCTACCAGTATAACATCAGCACCAACATAATCATAACATCAGCACTAATAACATAAACAATCATGACATCAGCACTAACATAATCATAACATCAGCACTATTAACGTAACCCATCCTAACAGCATAATATCTGCACTAACAATCGTAACAGCATAACATCAGCACTAATAACAATCATAACATCAACACTAATAACATAAACAATCATGACATCAGCACTAACAATCATAACATCAGCACTATTAACGTAACCCATCCTAACAGCATAATATCTGCACTAACAATCGTAACAGCATAACATCAGCACTAATAACAATCATAACATCAACACTAAAATAATCACAACATCATAACATCAGCACTATTAACGTAACCCATCCTAACAGCATATCTGCACTAATAACATAAATAATCATAACATCAACACTAATGTAATCATAACATCATGACATCAGCACTATTAATGTAACCCATCCTAACAGCATAATATCTGCACTAACAATCGTAACAGCATAACATCAGCACTAATAACAATCATAACATCAACACTAAAATAATCACAACATCATAACATCAGCACTATTAATGTAACCCATCCTAACAGCATAATATCTGCACTAACATAATCATAACATCAGCACTAATAACATAAACAATCATGACATCAGCACTAACATAATCATAACATCAGTACTACTAAAGTAACCTATCCTACCAGTATAACATCAGCACCAACATAATCATAACATCAGTACTATTAAAGTAACCTATCCTACCAGTATAACATCAGCACCAACATAATCATAACATCAGTACTATTAAAGTAACCTATCCTACCAGTATAACATCAGCACCAACATAATCATAACATCAGCACTAATAACATAAACAATCATAACATCAACACTAACGTAATCATAACATCAGCACTATTAATGTAACCCATCCTAACAGCATAATATCTGCACTAACAATCATAACAGCATAATATCAGCACTAATAACAATCAAAGCATCAACACTAACATAATCATAACATCATAACATCAGCACTATCAACGTAACCCATCCTAACAGCATAACTTCAGCACTAACATAACCCATCATAACATCAACTCTAATAACATTACACATCCTAACAGCATAAGATCAGCACTGAAGGCCTCAGTGACCGTTTAGACCTCTGAAGTGAGCGTGACATCTACAGAACCTGCCCAGCCCTGTTACAGGAACCCATGACTTTAGTACTCACTTACGGCGTAAATGGTTCTTCGCGTGGTGAAACGGTTCTCCAGCCTGATGGAGAATGTGCTGTATATAGTGCTATAAAGCACTGAACAGAGCTGTTCTGTTGTTACAATGTCAAGCTTGGAACCCTTTTTGGTGCTAAACAGAACCATTTTCAAAGATGTTCTAGACAGAAGCATATACAACACATTCTCCAACAATCTGAAAAACCATCTCACCATGCAGAGAACCATTTAAGCACGCAAATGGTTCTACATACGTTCTTTACAGAGATGTTTTTTAAATGGTTTTAATAAAGAGCATGGTTCTATACAGAACCATGAGAACTATTTTCATGCTTAAATGGTTCTTCAGACTGATAAAGAATTAGTTGCATGTGGTTCTATCTAGCACCAAAAATGCTCTTCTATAATTAAAAGCTGGACATTGAACCCTTTCTGGTGCCATATAGAACCATTTTCAAAAAGGTTCTATACAGAACCATATACAACACATTCTCCATCAATCTGAAGAACCATTTCCAATGCAAAGAACCATTTAAGTATGCAAATGGTTCTATACGCTCTTTACAGAGATGGTGAAGATAATGGTTCTATACAGAACCATTTGCATGCTTAATGCATGGTGAAGTGGAGAAGGTGCTGTATGTGGTTCTATGCAGCACCAAAAAGGGTTCTGCTATTCTTAAAAGCTTGACATCAAACCCTTTTTTGGTGCTTTGCAGAACCATTTTCAAAAAGGTTGTATACAGAACCATGCACAGCACATTCTCCATCAATCTGAAGAACCATTTCACCATGCAGAGAACCATTAAAGCATGCAAACTGCTCTCTGAGAGTGCAGGGTTCTAAACAGAACCCTCTTTTGAAGTGTGGGCTCTATGAGGCCAGTCTGTGCAGACAGATGGGATTCCGGGAATGCTAAATCAAACACCCCTCACAACCCCAACACTCTGCTGCAGTTTCAAATTCAGGTTCTGCTGTTGCTCAACTCTGCTGACTAATTTCGGCTAAAATCGGCTGTTTACGGCGCTCGCTTCACTTGATCGAGGCCTGATGCAATGATGCAACACTCAGAGCTGCATGCAGAGCAGAACACACACACACACTCACACACACACACACACACACACACTCACACACTCACACACACACACACACACTGAGCCCAATAACAGAGAGCATAATGCTAAAGCAGTGCTCTCTCTCTCTCTCGCTCTCTCTCTCTCTCTGTGTGTATCTCTCTCTCTCTCTCCTGACCACACAATGATAAAGCACAGAGCGGCTGAGTTTACCTTCCTCACGGCGCGAGCATCTCCGCCGGTCTTCGGCCCTCCCGCCTCGAGCGCAATCGATCGTGCACGCGCGCTCTCCGAGCAGCAAATCGGTGCAAAGAGGAAACAAAAGTTTTACAACTTTAACGCGAATTTCGCCTGGGTTGCACTGGTTGCGCTGCACGCGGAGCACTTTGTGGCAGGAAGCGCGTGGGCACCCGAACGCGCAGGCGCGCCTCTGTCTGTCTCTCTCGCTCGCGCTCGCGCCCCAGACCCGACACGCTTACTCCCTACAAAGAAGTGCACTTCACAGAGCTCAGCACTGCGGCCGCGTCCCAAACCGCTCACAGCCCGCTCACAGCCCGCTGAGCTGTGGGCCCAAACAGGCCAAGACTAACAGGAATCGGCTTAATGGTTTCCACTAGTTTCCTGTAGAACAACTTTAGATCCCATTAGGAAACCATCAAACGCATTTAGAACCAGCCACTGGTCGCCTGGTAAACCATCAGGATCCTTTACACTGTGATATCAACACATTAAAAAACACATTACAAAACCAGGAACCAACAGACACGCAATGGGAACCACCTACAGCACGTTCTCCATCAATCTGAAGAATGCGTTCACCATGCAAAGAACCATTTAACGATGCACAGAGTTCTTAGAGTGTTCATGGTTCTGTATAGATAGATATAATTAGAACCACTGCTATGTCCTGCAATGTCATCACATCAGGCTGTAGGCTGTTCCTAACATCACCCTGCGTAGTCCAACACTTCCACCCTGACACAAAACAGTATCAACCAATCAGAAAGCTGGATTCACACAAACACAACCGGCACCGCAGCGGATTCACTGTAGGGCTGAGGTTAAATCAGACGGCTGAGACCTGCACCAAGTTAGTCCTGCACAGTTAAAGATGTACAAACTTATGATTATTAATAATTACAGAGGTTACTGCCACGCCCGCGGACCCAAACGAGGACGACAGGAAAGTCAAACAGCTGACGGGGAAATTAAGCTAACGTCAGCTTCATTTAGGCCCAGTCCCATTTCACCCATCGCCCCTACCACTTAGCCCCACCCCTCTGTTTTGCATGTTCTTGTCTAGGGGTAGGGTGTCCCGGTTCTTGTTGAGATGGGGGGGGGGGTGAAGTGTTGGGGCTACATGACCCTCCAAACAGAGGTTTTTCAGAGACTCCAAACAGAGAGTTATGAGAATAAAGAAAAACCGCCGAGACGGAGAACAAGAGACCAAAGAAACACACAAACGTGAGAATTTTCTCTGTTTAAAATTACAGTAACCACTGTATTCTCTTAGTTTAATGTCGTTTCAGTGTATTTTGGTCTTTTTCTTCATTACAAGCATAAAAATCGCTAATAGCATGCTAGCTAGATGGCTAACTTTCCCGTTCTACCTTAAATAGTCCAGCAGTTCTGACGCCTGAAGCGCCAGAATGTAACTGCTGCTCCATTTAAAGTGGAACAGGAAAATTCAAATGGAAGCTGGTGAATATCTGACTTCAGCTTCATATCACTGAAGAATTAGGGGTGGTGATAATAAATAATTGCCCCCCTCTTTGAAGATCATATGATGCCCTAAATGTAACTAAAGCCCAGCAGTGAGGAGCTGAACTTTACCCTCCTCTGCTGTCACTGCAGACTGGCAGGGTCGCCTACAGAGCAGCGCTGGTAGCCGTTAATGAAGTGATGTTTTTTCCCATTTCAGAGGAAGATCTCAGCCACTACCCTGTGACTCAGCTCCAAGGGGTGACACTCGAAAACAAAGGGTAGGCGTAAAAAGAAGAAATGGGACTGGGCCTTCGTCTCTGCCCACTGCACGAGTCTCAGTTTCAGTCAGTAAACAGGGGCCCACGACTGCCCCCAACTGTGAATGAGAACGAACGATATTTGGGCCAGAAATGTACATTTACGTAGGTAAAGAGGGCTGAATAACATTCAGTTAAAATCAACCTAACAACACCCATGATCTGATGCTTTCCTACTGGAATCTAAAGGTGTCTTACTGGAAACTAGTGTTCTCCAATGGTCACCAATAAGCCCATTCCCATTAGAAAGCATCAGGTTTGAACTCTAATGGTTCTAATGGTCCTTTTTCAGCAGGCAGCTGTTAGAGAGCGGCTAACGGCCGAACACGAACGGCTTTCTTCATTAAGACATCACACCAGAAGCTGCTGTTACCGTAGTACACTACATAGGGAGCAGGGAGCACGGAGCCGTTTGTGACTCCGCCCACGCTCTCCCGAGCGGAGCACTATGTGGCAGGCTGCGGGTCCCGGCTGTGGAGTTAGTGAACACAAACACAGAGCGCTGCTGAACTCACCTGCTCCGTCCCGGAGGCTCCATACCGAGAACAGGCGCTTCTCTACCCCCGCACGGGCTCGGGCATGTCCCGGAGAACAGACTAACCCGCCCCGGGCTCACTCTCTGCAGCCGCAGCCCAGCGCTCTCCTCCCGGGGACTCTTTCGCTCTCAGTCCGCGCAGAGCGGGCTCGGCCGAGGCAGCGCGGCCGCCATGTTCCAGCTCTGAGTCACTGAGGGAGGGAGTGACGGGCAGGCAGCTACGGCGGCCCGCTGGGTCCACACACATCCCATAATAACACATTCGCCCTGATTCGGAGCCCTTTAGTCCTTACAGCTCTCAAAATAGACTTCAAACAAAACAACCATTAAACAGGAGAATCATTTAGAGCAGTTAGCAAATACACACATATATGATCTTGGTTAATAGTGATTAACATGATCAGAATTTCTGCATAACTAATCAGTTAAGATACAAACAGAGTCAGAGCTGTTCACAGTGGTGGTGATAGGAACCAGACGTCCACCTCTAAAAGCTCCCTCACAGAAAGTTCCTACATGAAATGGTTATGAATTCACTGCCTGATGACTGAGACACTGTTTTATGATAGTTTAGAGAACTTAAACTCCATTCATGGTGGAGGGATACATGCAGGGCGCTGTGAGGCAAAATAGTCCCCAAAGAAAACTTATTATTTCAGATTTTCCACTATTTTCCATCATCAACATTCATATAAACTCAGAAGACTCGTGTAGGTTCTCTGGTGGTTCTGGATAGTAAATAAAATGTCTATATCTGTGTTGTAGTCATGGCGACCCCTGGTTCCCATCACCACCACTGTAAAGACATCTGAACCGTTTCACACCAAACCTCTCTGAATCACTGATCACATCTCACACACTGAGTTAATGCAGGTTAAATGAGTAACCGGGCCGGGTTTTTAGCACAGAATTAGCGCAAATGCAAAATCTGGTTAATCAGAATCAGAATCTTTATTTGAGTGCCAGATATGAAACGTAATCCAGTAAAATTAATTTTAATGAAACCTATATATACATAAAACGGCTGCACACAATCAATCTGAACAACAAGTGAAACAAACACAAAAGACACCAGAGCACCGCAGCTGCCTCTCGGGACGGCACCGTGGTGTCCTTGATAACTAGCACACATGCTAATGAGATGGGGACCGGTTTATTGTTTATTTACGAATATCTCAATAATCACAATGAAGAAATGATTTTATTGATTTTTTTTCATTTAATCTAAAAAAAACCATTTTAACACAGAATTGGCAATAAAATGAGGTTAACTAGCACCATGCTAATGGCACAACGTTGATTAAAGTCTTTTTAAGGATGTTTTAGTCTGTAACAGAGATCTGTGTTCATCCATCTCAGGAACGACAGCTCATTTCTGCTCCGGGTTCCTCAGACGCTAGAGGGCGCTCCTGAGCGAGTCCAAAATGAATGGGCTGATATCGAGCATTTGAGTAAAATCATAGTTTATAAATGTTGAAACATTTTTAATGTAAAAGAATTCATTCATTTCCTGAACACAGAGCAGCTTAAAACACTTTAACACTGCTGTTATATTTTTAAGAGCTTTTAAACTCGAGTTATAGGAGTTTAAAACGGCGCCTCATGTACGTTCTGCTCGCCAACCTATCAGCACTCAGTACAGTAATGCTAACCAATCAGTGCTCAGTATGTATCAGCGATGTTAACCAATCAGCTCTCAGTATCAGTAATGTTAACCAATCAGCTCTCAGTATCAGCGATGTTAACCAATCAGCTCTCAGTATCAGTGATGGTGTCTGTTGCTGTAGTGAGGGATGGTCCAGGTGAGTTCTCTGTGCTGTTGTAGTGAGTTCACCTCAGTGCATTAATGTCCCGACATGCTGTGCAAATGACAAATAAACTGGAACTACTTTTCGTTTTAAACCGTTCAGCTCCATTCACCCCCATTCATTGAGGACTCGCTCGAGGGCGCCCTCTGGTGTTTCACTGTGATATGTCTGATATGAAGGGCGAAGCAGGAAGAGGCCGGAGTCCTCAGAGACCGGCTCGGCGTGCTGCGCTCACAGTGGCTTAACTGGGTAACAGAGTCACTTTGGTTTTGGTGTCATAATGTCTGACTGGTGTGTCTGGAGAGAGAGAGAGAGAGAGAGAGAGAGAGAGAGAGAGAGAGAGTGTGTAGAGAGAGAGAGAGAGATGGAGAGGGAGAGAGAGAGAGAGAGAGAGAGAGAGTGAAGAGAGAGAGAGGGAGAGAGAGAGAGGGAGAGAGAGAGTGTAGAGAGAGAGAGAGATGGAGAGGGAGAGAGAGAGAGAGAGAGAGAGATGGAGAGGGAGAGAGAGAGAGAGAGAGGGGAGAGAGAGAGGGAGAGAGAGAGAGAGAGAGAGAGAGATGGAGAGGGAGAGAGAGAGAGAGAGAGCGAGAGAGAGAGATGTACTCAGAAATATGTTTAGGATACATACAACCACAAGGTGGTGCTGTTACACTGTTACATCAGTGAACCTCACTGAAGGCCGCAGGTTTCCTATATGGACGTATAACCAAAATACTGTCTAATGAACTTCACTGTGGATTTCACAGCAAACTCACCTGAGTGATCCCTCACTACAGCAAACAGACCCCATCACTGATACTGAGAGCTGATTGGTTAGCATCACTGATACTGAGAGCTGATTGGTTAGCATCACTGATACTGAGAGCTGATTGGTTTGTGGGCGGAGCAGCTTATTGGCTGTTCACGCTTACTGACGTCATGAACGTACATGAGGTGCCGTTTTAAACTCCTATAACTCGAGTTTAAAAGCTCTTAAAAATATAACAGCAGTGTTAAAGTGTTTTAAGCTGCTCTGTGTTCAGGAAATGAATGAATTCCTTTACATTAAAAATGTTTCAGCATTTATAAACTATGATTTTACTCAAATGCTCGATATCAGCCCATTCATTTTGGACTCGCTCAGGAGCGCCCTCTAGTGTCTGAGGAACCCGGAAGACATTACAGAGTGGAAATTCTCCTCTCTACAAGTTCTCTGATACAGCAGAGGCAGTGCCTCCCCCAGGTTGCACCCTGCTATTACAGTATATTGTGAGTGATAGAGTGAGTGAGTGAGTGAGTGAGTGAGTGAGTGAGTGAGTGAGTGAGTTAGTGAGTGAGTGATAGAGTGAGTGAGAGAGTGAGTGAATGAGTGATAGAGTGAGTGAGTGAGTGAGTGAGCGAGTGAGAGAGTGAGTGAGTGAATGAGTGAGTGATAGAGTGAGTGAGAGAGTGAGTGATAGAGTGAGTGAATGAGTGATAGAGTGAGTGAGTGAGTGAATGAGTGATAGAGTGAGTGAGTGAGTGAGCGAGTGAGAGAGTGAGTGAGCGAATGAGTGAGTGATAGAGTGAGTGAGAGAGTGAGTGATAGAGTGAGTGAATGAGTGATAGAGTGAGTGAGTGAGTGAGTGAGTGAATGAGTGATAGAGTGAGTGAGTGAGTGAGCGAGTGAGTGAGTGAATGAGTGAATGAGTGAGTGAGTGAGTGAGTGAGCGAGCGAGAGAGTGAGTGAGCGAATGAGTGATAGAGGGAGTGAGTGAGTGAATGAGTGAGTGAGTGAGCGAATGAGTGAATGAGTGATAGAGTGAGTGAGTGAGTGACTGAGTGATAGAGTGAGTGAATGAGTGAGTGAGTGAATGAGTGATAGAGTGAGTGAGTGAGTGAGTGAGTGAATGAGTGATAGAGTGAGTGAGTGAGTGAGTGAATGAGTGAGTGAGTGAGTGAATGAGTGAGTGAGTGAGTGAATGTGTGAGTGAGTGAGTGAATGAGTGAGTGAATGAGTGAGTGAATGAGTGAGTGAGTGAGTGAATGAGTGAGTGAATGAGTGAGTGAGTGAATGAGTGATAGAGTGAGTGAATGAGTGAGTGAGTGAGTGAATGAGTGAGTGAGTGAGTGAGTGAATGAGTGATAGAGTGAGTGAGTGAGTGAATGAGTGATAGAGTGAGTGAGTGAGTGAATGAGTGAGTGAATGAGTGAGTGAGTGAGTGAGTGAGTGAATGAGTGAGTGAGTGAGTGAGTGAATGAGTGATAGTGAGTGAGTGATAGTGAGTGAGTGAGTGATAGACTGAGTGAATAAGTGAGTGAGTGAGTGAGTGATAGAGTGAGTGAGTGAGTGAGTGAGTGAATGAGTGATAGTGAGTGAGTGAGTGATAGAGTGAGTGAGTGAGTGAATGAGTGAATGAGTGAGTGAGTGAGTGAGTGATAGAGTGAGTGAGTGAGTGATAGAGTGAGTGAATGAGTGAGTGAGTGAGTGAGTGAGTGAATGAGTGATAGTGAGTGAGTGAGTGATAGAGTGAGTGAGTGAGTGAGTGAGTGATAGAGTGAGTGAGTGAGTGAATAAGTGAGTGAGTGAGTGAGTGAGTGATAGAGTGAGTGAGTGAGTGAGTGAATGAGTGATAGTGAGTGAGTGAGTGACAGAGTGAGTGAGTGAGTGAGTGAATGAGTGAGTGAGTGAGTGAGTGAGTGAATGAGTGAATGAGTGAGTGAGTGAATGAGTGAGTGAGTGAGTGAGTGAGTGAATGAGTGAATGAGTGAGTGAGTGAGTGAGTGAGTGAGTGAATGAGTGAATGAGTGAGTGAGTGAGTGAATGAGTGAGTGAGTGAGTGATAGAGTGAGTGAGTGAGTGAGTGAATGAGTGAGTGAGTGAGTGAGTGAGTGAATGAGTGAGTGAGTGAGTGATAGAGTGAGTGAGTGAGTGAGTGAATGAGTGAGTGAGTGAGTGAATGAGTGAGTGAGTGAGTGAGTGAATGAGTGAGTGAGTGAGTGAGTGAATGAGTGAGTGAGTGAGTGAGTGAATGAGTGAGTGAGTGAGTGAGTGAGTGATTAAATCTGTGTAAAGTGTTTTGTTATTTTGACAGACACTTGGGTTCTACTGTTTCTTGACGGCTCTTTACAGGCCTTTCCAAAGTCCGGCCCCGGGGCCAAACGCGGCCTGCAGACGGATTGTACTTGGCCTGTGGAAGTGGCCCTCCAGCCAGTGCGCTGCAGTTCTTCCTTTCACCTGATGGTGGCAGCAGTGCTGTAAGATTACAGTGTAATGCGACGTAACGAAGTTAGCTAACGTTTAAGAGCCTTTCTTTTCTGACTGACCAGCAGCTTCATTTACTGACCACATTTAGTCCAGCCTGCATATAATCTTCATTAATTCTAATAATCTTCACGAAGAGCCGCAGTGCGGGAGCCTCTTACGTCACAAGACTGTAACGAATTCAGTATCAGTAGACATGAAATCAACATTCAGGAGTCCAAGAGGAAATGAAGCCTTGTGCATCTTCTACGCAGTGATAGGAAACGCAGTATCTCCC